TTATTATTATTATTATTATTATTATTATTACTACTACTACTAGTACTAGTACTACTACCGGTTTTACCGCGTTGTGTATCCTCTCGCTGTGGAAACAGTTGTCCCTGCACGGGAAGTAACGGTGGTGGTCTCTTCCCATTACTGGTGGGTGGATTGAGAAGAAGTGATTCCTGTTCCAGCGGGGCAGTGACCGCACGGCGGGAGATATAACCGTCTGAGCACTGCGGTGCGGCGGGTGGACTCTCATGGCCGGCATTTAAACGCCAGCGTGTGGGTGCCATTATTAAATAGAGAGAAAGAAAAAGAAAGAAAGAGAAAAGGTCTGGAATATATATATATATATATTCTAGTTCTTCTCTTTCCTTTCCTTCTTCTTTGAAAAAGGAGTTAAATTCCTACACCACCCACCACGCACCTTAATGAGTTTTTTTTTTTTTTTTCTCTTGTATTCCTCCCTACGACGTCTGCTATTGTTGTTGATGTTATTATTATCGTTGTTGGTGTTTAGTACGGCACGTTGTTTATATTGGACACTTGACGAAATAAGAGAGAGGTGATCGCAACAACAGTTAATAATTACAATAACAAAAACAATAACAATAGCAAGAAATAGAAAATATAAATATAAATATATTTCTATATATATATTTATATAAAGGTGAGGGAAGTACCTCTCACTCGTACGTGTGAAACTACACAAGAACACACACACACACCTTTTTAAAATTATTATTATTATTTTTTTTTTCGTTCCCCTTCTATTATACTCGCTGATAGAACTATGGAATATATATGTGTATGCGTACTTCTTCCTTTATGATCTCACTTCGCCAATTTTATATTTATTGTTTTTTCTTCTCCTTCTTGTGTTTCACGTACTCCCTTCTTCTGTATTCTCTCTCTCTCTCTATATATATATATATATATATATATTTATATATATATATGGCTTACCTAATTTTGCCCTTGCTGTCGCCTTTCCCAAAGTACGTGTATACCACACGGCAAGATGAGGCTATATTAGGAAAAGATAAGAAAAAAAAAAGAAAACAGAAAAGAAAAAAGAAAAGATTGAAGAAAGAGTGCGACTTATATTTCCCAGTTACTCAAGTACTATAGATACAATCAATGATAATAATAAGAATATATAATGGGAATAAGAATATAATAATAACAATCATTAAAAACGACTGGAATGTAAATAAATGTGAAAAATGTGAAAACAAAGAAGGAAAGAGAACTCTTATCTCTTAAACGGCATTTGTGTGCCCCGTCCAGAAGATCTTTGAGTGCTAGAAGAGAGAACTCCACCACCACCCCAATTGTGATTAGAGCTTCTGCTGCTTCTATTGTTATTATTATTATTATTATTATTATTATTATTACTATTATTACTACCACTGCTGCTGCGGTTGCTGTTGTTGCCAGTCTTGTAATCATTACCTCCTCTGCTTCTCCCTCTGTTGTATCCGACTCTACTATTGTCATTACCACCACCCCAACTCGTGTTGTGCTTCTTCTTGTTACCAGTATTATTATTATTAATATTACTATTATTATTACTATTATTATTATTGTTATTATTATTATTACTATGATGATGATGATGTTTTGGTTTCCACCGTTGCACTAAAAAGAGTGCTCTCTCTGTTCGTTGGAGTCCAGATGCACTCATGGCAATTCCCCCGGCCCCGCCCCCAATCTCATCACCGGCCCCACCCGCAAGATCCACACAAACCACCGATCGAGCCACCAGTACTCGTAAAGTTCCTGCCAGCATTGTATCGGATTGATGTCGGTGTTCATTATTAGGGCCTGAATGCCACTTTGGATCCATCTCACGCAGCATTTCAATCATCATTGATAATGTCTTTGGTCCTTGTTGCGGGGCGAGACGCCGCATAGAGGCATGAATGATCTTTCGAAGAGCAAAACGAATGTGAAGCATCACAACTCCAAAATGCATTGGATCTTCAATATGAAGTGCCGCATCGGGATGACCAGCTGCTGCTACTACTCCTGTTGTTGTTGATGATGATGTTGATGATATGGTTGTAGTACTTATAGCCTTATTATTATTATTATTATTATTATTATTATTATTATTATTATTATTATCACTATTATTATTACTGGTAGATGAAGTATTTACACCACTATCATCAGAAGTGTATACATCACAACCTGTTAAGGAACGTGTTATGACGGGAGCGGAACTTCGAAAGGCGGCAACTCTCTCATGTCGAGCATCATCCGCAGCGCGTATCATCGCCGTGGCTTTTTTATATTCTTCTAATGTTAACTGCCGCATGAAAGCAAAATGCATTGCTGTTTCCATCACTTCTGCTAATGTGAGACTCAATGCCGTTAAAGCACGTTTGTGAGTGAGAGATGCTGTTTGATCTGCTTGATCAGCCTTAAAGCGGGTGAGGGCATCCACATCACCTTGTTCTTCCTCACCTACAGCTGAAGATAAGATATCATTATCATTATCATTATCATCATCTAATGTATGATCTCCCATTGTTGTGTTGATCGTACTAGTATCAGATGTTAAGGGGCTTTCCAGTACCACATCTGTAGAGGAAACACCTAAACTCAACCGACGCTTTACTGAACTTTCACTACCACTCACAATAGTACCACCCGTAGTATTAATAGTAGTATTCGTATTTGAAACTAGTGTAGATCCACTATTATTATTACTATTAATACCACTATTGTTTCTTCTGGCAAGTGCGAGTTTAGAGAAGCGATCTTCTGTTGGTGGTTGTCCAAACACATCCGGGCGAAGACTCATACTACGGTAGAGAACAATCGCCAAGGCATTCTTCTTCACAAACACATCCTCACGGCAAAGTGCGGCGAGAAAAGGAATAAGAACTTCATTCGGTACAGATCCAGCAGCTCCTCGTTGAATAGAAGCAACAGTTGGTGGGGCAAGAGCATCATGGAAACTATCACGTCCAACAATTTGTTCACACAACTCTTCACAAAAGAGACGCATAGCGGCATTACGGGTATATGTATTAGATAAAATCCCTGCAGTTGCAGACATTAAAGGAGCCAAATGAGCATCCGGCCTTCGCAAGTAGAAATGAAGAGAAGCCACAACTTGTGTGACGGTGACTCCCAATGCACTACGAATATGTTGAGAAAGAACTTCATTGAAGAATGATGGTGAAAGAACGGCAAGAAGTGTAGGCGAGCGGAGAAAGAGTTCCGGTCGTTTAGATTGCCATTCTTCTAATGCCATAGTATTAACAGATGTTAGGATAGAAGCCATATTTTGATGCTTGTTATTGCTATGATAACTACTACTACTATTACTACTATTATTACCAGCCGTAGTAGGATCCATACTGTTATTATCATTATTAGTATCATTGATGTTACTACTCTGTGATGATGATGATGGTATGGGTATCACATCACATGAGAATCTACCAATAATACGATGAACCACTCGACGTGCAAGTGAAAATCCATGTGGAGCACTACGCAGTAAAAACCGTAGTGTATCTTGCACGACAACAGCAATCATCATACGTAATTCATCTGCATAGTGAATAGCCTTTTGTGCCTTTTCCGCCTCACAGCCTGGTGTAATAGCGATACTAATGGCCCGATGAGTAATAAAGTCTGTGTGATCCATCATAGCACACGTTACATTTAAGAAATGTAATAATATATTTTCTAATAAATTGGCATTTACATTCTCTGCCTCTGTTTGACGGGCATTGGCGAGTAAACGTCGTTCGGTTAAACGTCCATCGGCTCCATGTCTGTTGAATGTACCACTAAATACCGTGGTGGATCCCTCTCCACTATCATCATCCATTCCATGCCTTCTCCCACTACCATTACTATTCGTACTACTACTACTATTATTATTATTAGTATTAGTACTATTAGTAGTAGAAGTGGTAGTATTAGTACTGTTACTAGTACTAATAGTTCCAAGTAAACGGAAATGATGACAGACATTTACTGCAAATGCCAGTAAATGCATATACAAACAGGAGGATCGCATATATTCAAATAAAGCTTCTTCAGCCGAATCTGATGTTATTCCTACAGCTTTCATAGCTGCTGTAACTCTTTGACGATCTTCTGAACTTAAAAACCAATTTTTTACAGGAGTCGCACTAGAGCAGGTAAGTGGAAGACGACGTCGTTGGTATAAACGTGGTCCATGATGTTGAGGTAATTGCATAAATTTAATTAAATTCACAGCATTTCCATCACATCGTGGACGTAGAAGAACATGTTGCCGTGCAAGATATGTGATAATGGTTCTAGCTAACTCTTCCAACTCTGGTTCCTCACGCAATCCACGTGGAAGATCACCTAAAATAGTAAGAAGAACATCTAATGGAACTTGTTGTTCTGGATATTGTTCTTCTTTTTCTTTTTCCTTATTATTATGAGATTGTGATTTCTTCGTATGTGTATTACTACCTTCTCTTTTTCTTTTCACTATTAAAGTGTTGATATCATCATGATAAGGAAGTTCCACATCTTCTGGTACAACTCCCGCATTATGTCGGGCGAGTTGTGCCATGATATTCTCTTCTAGAGAGAAGAGAGCACTAATATATTTTGCAGTCTCTTCATTTTCATAATTAATCATCATTCTCTTATTATTAGTACTATTAATAGTAGTAGTTTCTTTTTCTCCAAACTGTGTTAAGGATCGTTGTCGCTGGACCAACTGTAGTAATTCCTGTTGTTGATGATCAAATTGTGTACGATAGGGTTCTAAGAATTCCTTTCGCCACTCGGAAGTGAGATGTGCCCAGAGTTTACGGCGCTTCTCCACAGGCACAGGTGATCGCCAATGCGTGAGAGAATCAAAACTAGCAAAGATTACTTCAGAAGAAGGAAACCCCACAATCTCTCGTAAAGTACATCGATGAAAAACAATAGAAAGACAATTAAAATGTGTTAATATGATACGTGATGTTTGTGGAATGGCAGAGGCGGTATCGGCCACAGCACCTGTTCCTGAAGACATCCGTACACGACGACATTGTCGAATTAATAATTCTATTGCTTCTGTATTTGAAATGACACCATTTCCTTCTCCTTCTTCTAATAACACTGCAGCCTCCATATCGATCATACCATTCGTACTGTGTGGATCCATAATAGACACCGCCGCCGCCGAAGAAGAAGAAGAAGATCCAACAACAACATCATCATCATTATCATCTACTGAGAGTTCATCGCCATCACTATTACTTTTATTATTATTATTATTATTATTATTATTATTATAATCCTGCCGTGGACGCTCTACATGTAATAAGGATGGATCCTCCACAACATTTTCAATCACCACGGCGGCAGATTCACACGTCCATTCCACTACACAATCCGAATGACGTCCTTGTGTGGTTCGTGAAGCCACAACTTCCCTCAATTCATTCTCTAAATCACGAAAAGATTCTAAAAGAAGACGTAATTCTTCTCTAGATGGAATATGTAATTTAGGGGAAATGGCTGTGGAAGTACTTTTCTTCCCTTTTCGACTTCTTGACTTCTTTGTTTGTACAATTTCCTCACAGAGGGTTCGCCAGACACGGTGGATAATACAACCTGCTGGTTTATACCGCGCGGAGGCCACCGCAAGTGTACGCAATGATGTGAGAAGTGCGGTGATATCTGTACGTTGTCGCATTCCAAGGCCTAATCGTATCGCGAGACGATGAGAAACTTGAAGATCTCGTAAAATAGATTGTAAACTTTCAGTTAATGTATCCAGTAAAGGTGATTCAGTACTCTCTACTATATCTTTAGATTCCCCACTATCACTATTATTATTATTATTATTATTCTTTTTCCGCTTCTGCTGTTTCTTGTTATTCATATGGATATGAGATGTCTTACTACACTTCTCTACAAGTTCATCAATAGTAGCTAAAAGAGATTCCGTAGATCGTCTAATTGTTCCTGTAAAACAAACACGTCTGTAATCAACGGCCACAACTTTTCCTAATAAGGCTGTAACACATAAACTAACCCATAACATTTGAGCTCGTTCAGCATGAAATTGTTCTTGTAATTCAATAGGTACATGAAGAATAGCCCGTATACATCCTTGCAAGACACGAGAGAGTGTTTGTAATGCTAACAGGAGAACATCACGAAGTTCATCATCAAGGGCATCTTGCTGAAGTGCACAGCAACGAATAGCATCCAACACCGCATCGAAACAAACAACAAGACAATCAAGAAACATTCGCAACTGTCGTTCTTCTTCAGGACTACGATTTACCGCTAGTGTTGTAAAATACATTCCATACTCTTCTCCCTGTTCCATTTCCATCATATCTGTATCTTTTTCATTCATATCCACATCACTTTCCTTACGACGTGTAGATGTAGATCCACGGTATTTCACAGAAGCCCGTTGTAAAAGCACTACTGCTTGTTTCATTGCAAAAAACATTGTTCGGTACTCTCCACGAGTGGCGTGTCGAAGTAAACCCTGCAAAGGAGAACCACGATCAAATCCCAACAGTGTAAGCGTGGAATCCGACATCATATCCGAGAGACAGAGAATACTTCTTAACATATTATGCGGTAATCTCGGTGTGCTGGGAACAGAGAGAGCACGTAATTGAGAAAGAATAGCTGTTGTAGCTACTTCTTCTACAGATGTGGTGGTCGCTAATTGACGTTTACGTCTAATCTTTAAAGAAGTCTCTGCGAGATTAAAAGCCCATGTTACCATAGTCCAACTCCCTGCAGAACTAAGATATCCCATATAATCTAATAACACTAATGGGGCTTCTTCTACACGTGCAAGTGAAGACATGGCTTTTTCTCGACATACAATACTTCCATTAGTGATAGTATGATGAAGAGATGGAGTGGGATCTAATGGTGTACGTGAAAGTCGTTCCTGTTCACGTAAATAGTGTTCCATAAAACGAACAAGATAACCAAGAACATGAGCACTAATAGAAGTACTTGCCATGAAAGTTAAACACTTCACAGACTCTTCCACCAGTTGTTTTTCAATACTGACAGAAGAAGAGGATGAAGGGGATAAAGAAGACGAAGGAACATAAGAAGTACACGGTACACGATGTAAACCCTGCAAGTAATGTTGTAAAGCCGTCATACAACTATTCTCACGTCCACTATATAATGATTGGACACGTGAAAAGGGTAAAAGACGATTACTAAGATCGAGTATTTGTAAATAGGAAGCCCGATTTCCTCTTGTTAACAAATACGTAATGGTATTACTACTACTACTACCATTACTATTACTATTCATAATAATATCTGTGATTGTACTTTTATCTGTAGGTAACTGCGCGGCGGGTAAACCATATCCACTCGCACGCTTTCCACCTCCTCGCCTTGCATGTCGAAGACAATAAACAGCCGTACGAATAAGAAGATCATTCGCATCACTGCGAAGTACAGTTTCTAATCTTACATTTGGCCAGGAAGCAAATCTTGACAATTCTGCAAGAATAAAAAGAGCTGATTCACATGTTGCCGAGTGTGTTTCCGCATCATCCTCATCTGCACTCTTTGCAAGACTTCCCAGTATAGCAGGAAGACAAAGTTTTAATAAATACTGATCACCAAACCGCATCATCTCTTCCTGATCTGTACCAAGTCTAAGGTGCATTTCAAAGAGAGCATCAATAAATCCGGCATATCCATTTAAAAGAAGAAGTTCTGCATCTCCCGTAAGTGTTGTGAGAAAAGATGAAAAGACACCTAATACCCACTCTCGCATCATTGTTCGGGATGTATCTTGACTACCACTACCACTAGTTGTCCGTACTAAATTGGTAGCTGCACGAATATTAGAAAGCACTAATGCACATGTCCATTGTTTTACAAGTGGAGAAAGATAAAAAGCATGCGAAAGACATTTCAATGCCGTTTCTGTAGAATGTTTTAACCAATCACTATTCCCACTACAACGTGCCCGTTGTACCAATAAATTAACAAGATTCTCTTCTAATATAGCATGAAATGGGGAAACTAATTGTATGAGATGCTGTTGTTGTGAAGGATATTGTAGGAGAAGTGGGGCTCCACTGCGTAACCACCAGTTACTCGCAAGAGCATCGGTGTAGTAATGATTTCGCAATAGTGTTTCTTGTGTGCCTGCCACTATAGTGAGACCCACAGCTCGCCTGATATTCACATCTCGAGTAAATAATGGATCCGCTAACTCATATACACGTTGAACAGCAGCAGCGAAGGTAGCCGCAAAGAGTCGTAAACTCACAGTAACAAAGAGTGGTAAAACCAATTCGGATGATTCTTGGGATTTAAACTCATATATACTTTTACCCATTTTAACTCCTCCATCTGGTCGTTTTGTATTTATTTCTTGTACACGACGATATGCAATGAGTAAGGATAACCAGGTATTTTCTAAAGCACACGTACGGTGTTGTAAATCTACAGAATGAGAATCCGAAAGTTGGATAACGGCATCCTTTGAAGCTACAATAATATCAAACAAGGGACTATTCTCAGAGGTTTCTATAGTCATTCCACCCTTATTAGTATTAGTATTATGACTATTATCATTATTATTACTATTATCTGTATTGCCAAGGTGTTCTGATGAGACGATACCATCTTCCCATAATCTCCGTGATGAAAATCGAGAAGATTTTCGGGTTGTTTCTGTGGGATTTGATAACAATACACCATCTTCATCACCTTTTTTAAACATGGAACGACCACTACGAGGTCTATTAAAGCGTCCATCATCCATATTATTATTATTATTATTATTATTATTATTACTAATACCTCCATCACTATCCTTATCATTACTACTATTGGCATCATCTTTTCCAGTTTTACTCGTATCATTCCCCGTCTCATGTTGAACGGAAAGAATGGCTTTACGTTCCTCATACGCATTCTCATCAAAGTAGAGCATAGCACTAATAGTAGCAATAAGTTCTGTCTGCACTAACTCCAATTGTGGGTTATTACTATTACTATTATTATTATTATCATTAATGGTTCGGACTCCATTAGGGTGTGAAGTACCACTCAAGTGTGTGATGGTGTCAAATAAGGTTTCTAGTAAAACAGGTACGAGTCGCAGCCACCAAAAGGCAAGTCGAATGCCGTGATGAGGTACAATTCTTTTTTGTCGCAACCAACAATGACGAATCGTACGAATCATCTTCACTGTACAATTTTCTTTATGCGTTGTTGTTTGGCCCAATTCCCTTTGCGTAGATGTAGTAGTAGTAGTAGTTAGATAAATAGGAATGATTTTACAATAGGCTGCACAACAGGAGAGAAGAGCATCACCTAATGCCCCTTTGAATGTGAGGGTATGTTGTTTATTCCCATGATGTTCCTGTCCAGAACAGAGATGAAATGCCTTAATAAAAAGTGCTTCCAAACCTTCTAATGGTTCTATATATCCATTTGTATCACGAACTGTAAATACACGTTTTTCTATTTCAGAGATCATACAATACACAACCCTCTGCAATCGAATAGATTTATTATTATTATCATGATGATGATGATGATTTTCCATTTCCTCCTTTTCGTTAGGTTTTGTTTTCTTCTTTACAGAAGAATGTCCTTCAGTGGAGGAGTTCATCGGCATAGAAGAAGAAGAAGAAGAGGACGATGATGATGATAATAATAATGATGATGATTGTGCCTGCAGCATTATTCCTTCCATCAATCGACACAACATAGATACTCGCCAGAGTGTATTCGGTAATGTATCTTGTTGAGATGATGTCCCTGTTTTCTCTTCATGTATATAATTATCTTTATAATGTCGTTTTCCTTTTACTGCTGTTCCTCTTATCTCTGTAGGGAGAGAGAGAGTGTCTAATGTATTCAAGAACTCACAGATAACACGCCGTAGTGCCTCTTCCTCTGTGTAGTGTTGACTAACTTGATCAAATGTAATAGTTGCACAGGCGATGAGTTCATTCCATTCTCGTAATTCTCCCCAAAATCGAAGTTGACGACTTAATGGAGCCACAGCTGTTTCATTAGCATACAATGGCAATCGAATGTTTGATATATCTTGTGAGAAAAATTCCCCCACCACTCCATTTCTTCGTCCCTTCAACGTGACGGCAAGTAGTTTACACAATATCATCATAGCCGCATCTGGTGATAAGGGAGACTTTAATAAAGTTGTTGGTACAGTTGTGGGAATAGTATTCATGGATGAACGTTTGCGTGAAGTTTGTGTAGATTGTAAATTCCCCTCATTCCATTCCACATCAAATAATCCAGTTTCATCCACATTTGTAATACGAGGATAGACAACTCGATTGGATGATTTCTTTAATCTCCCTATTCTCTTCTCTGTTCCTTTTTTCATAATAGTAGAAGTAGAAGTGTTTGTGGATATCGTAGATGTGAGTAGTGCCTCTTTTGCTCGCCATACAAGTCGTCGAAGGAGACGTGTTGAGTGCTGCTGCATTTCCGCACGTGTTCGCCCTTCACTCACATTATTATTATCATCATTATCACTATTATTATTATTATTATCACTCTTCACAATAGGAGTATTATCTGCAGTAATGGAGTTTATGCATCTCACTGTTGTAGTGATGGGATGATGTGTGGAAAGAATGGCAATCGTATTATTTAGCCGTCGCCATGCACGGGAGGCGGCCCACATACATACAGAGACTGAGTGAAATAGATAGATAGATAGATAGATAGAGATAAGTGAATAGAGAATGAAAAGAGAAGGGGAGCTTTCCCTTTTCTTTTCTTTTTTTTCTCTTTTCTTCTTTATATATATATATATTCCTTTCAGTTTCTTTTCTCTTCCTTCGTTTACACGCACGAAGCCTTTGCAATACACCCAAGAAAGGGCCCAAAAGAGCTTTGCTAGTCGTGCTGTTCAGAAATAGAAAAAAAAAAGAAGAAAAGAAAAGAAAAGAAAAGAAATCAATTCAATAAATCCAAGACTCTCATTATTATTATTATTATTTACATAATCGTTTTTTTTTTTGTTGTTGTTGTTGTATCATAATTTAATCTTTTTTTCTTTTTTTTTTTTCCTCTTTTGTTTATTCTTACTCTTACTCTTACACTTCTTCAGATAGACAACAATAACAAAAGTAAAAAAAAAAAAAAAAACAGAAACAATAGTTATAATGATCATAAGGTTACAAGTACGGTGCCCATTTTTTTTTTTTTCTTTTCCTTTTTTTTTTTAATAAAAAAAAAACCTTTTTCGGTTTTCCTTTTCTTTCGTTCTTTCATTTTCGTTTAAATTCTTCTTTTTTTTTCTGTTCTTTTTGGGCATTGATATTAACGGATTTGTGTATTATTCGATGTACTTCATTTCATTTCTTTTTTTTTTTTCTTTTCCTTTGTGATCTTCACTCTTTTCATTCAAAAAAAAAAAAAAAAGCATTCCTTCGCTCCAAATTAATGTGTTACTTTTTTTTCTTCTTTCTTTTAGTTTCCATTCAGAGTCTTTCGCTCCCTTTCGTCTTTCTCTCCTCCGTCCCTTCTTTCTCCCCATATATATATATATATATATATACTCTTTCATTTTCTTCTTTTTTCTCTTTCTTCCTCCCTCTTTCCCACATAAGGAGAGAGATGGAAACAGAGAAAAAAGAATTAAAAAAAAGAGAGAAAAAGGAGAACAGAAAAGAAATAGATAGATAGAGTGAATGTGTACATGCGTGAAGACAGAACAAAGAAAAAGAAGAGGATAGCAAACACTAACAATATCACCACTACCACCATCAACAACAATAACAATAACAACAAGGAGGAGAAGGACTTCACATTACCACAAAGAAAATCTCCTCATCTTCACCTTATGCACGTAATAAATAATAATAATAACAACAACAATGATGATATCAACATCAACCCCCCACACATGTATATAGATAGATATAGATAGACGTATATATATATATATATATACATACAAATATATATAAATATATTTTTTCTCTTTAGACTCCTCCACGTTCGAGTACATCCCGCAGAACGGCGGCGTCTGGAGTAACGCCCACACTTGCCGTTCCCACACGCGGCCGCTCGCCCACCATAATAGCAGCACTGATGGATTGCAGTTCATCACACATCCCACGCGTTACGGCGGTGTGCAGCCAACGACGTGAAGAGGCAAATGTCATTTGAAAGAGTGGACTCGCACTGCGAGCAATCACACCTGTGAAGTTAAAGTTCTCCCACACCCCACGGTGAGTGGCGGCATCTGCAATAAGGGTGAGATGTCTGTGATCCACGGAATAGCGACCAAAGAGTTTACGGAGTTCATCATAAAGAGCACGATAGGCAGCTTCTATACCAAAAGCATATGCCATTTCACGAATATCAGTAGAGCGGGCCTTTCGCACCTTCACAGATCGCAATACACCTCCTCGTTTCTCCTTTTCTCCTGTTTCCATCGGATTGGAATGAGAACGATTCAACGAACTTTTTATATTGATTGTAAAGAGAGAGAGAAAGGCGAGTACACGACGCACGGTAGCCCCTGCGCCTGTAAAGACAAGTTCTCCACAACGGCGATTATTGGCATTTCGTGTAAAGGCGACCGCCTCAAATGGCGGCAACAGTGACGATGGAAGTGATTGAGACAACAACGCCGCCGCAACGACATCCGGCACAACCGCCACAACACCCGGTGGAAGTCGCAACACTACATTGACCACAAATAAATCCTCATCATCATCGTTCACATTATCCTCTTTATCCGCATGAGCATGATGATGATGATGATTATTATTATTATTAATATTGTTCTTCTTGTTTTTATTGTTGTTGTTGTTGTTGTTTGGATTGGGATTGGGTTTTAATGAGGAAAGTGCCACTCCATCACGACGAGCAGCGGTGAGACTCAATGGTGAAATATCAACAGTAAACGCATGTCCACCATAAGAGGCACGTAATGGTAGAAATGTACGGTAATTCACTCTAGAGCTAGACTTACCAGCCACATTCTTCTTTTCATTCATATTCATATCTTCCTCATCCTCATCCTCTTCATTCTTATTATCTTTATGAACAACAACATTATCCTCCTCATCATCTGTATCGGCTTCTTCCTCTTCATTCTCAAATCCATCTAATGGATCGGCACCGCCCTGTTGACTGCGAAGAGCGGGAGATGTACGGGCTCCACGCACACTGCCAGTACATTTACCGCTGCTCTTCCCATCATCATCATCATCATCCTCATCGGCTTCACTGACACTATCGCTGAGGGCATCTCCACCGTGATCTCCAACCGAACTTCCATCATCATTACCCACACCACCAGCAGCATCTGTAAAATCTCGTGGTTTAATCATAACGTCTGTTCCATCTGTGATATCTTCACCAGTGGCACCTGCTGTATCTTTTTCCTCACGTGTACGACCTCGTAATACTTTTACAACACGCTTCGCAAACTGTCGTAGGGCCTCTGTAAAAGACTCTAGATGTTCAGAAGGTGACATACACATACAATCTCGGCTTTCATCCAAGTGGGATTGAGAAAAGAGTAATGCAATCGTTAATACCGTCGCATCTCTTTGTCGGGCAACATGATAATGCCAACCTTTTCCAGCATTTCGAACTCTACTGTTATTAGGACCGTTGTCACCATTGGGGTTTTTACTATCCCCATCATTATTATTATTATTATCATTATTTGTACCACGAGCCAAACAATCAATCAGTTTTGTTGGAACTGCCGCACGTAATAATCGTGCAATCGCCACTTCATCTTCATCCGTTGCATTTTCCACCGGTACCACCACTGCAGCATTTTGAACAGAGGCATGAATGAGTAATTCACGTAAACGTGGAATACCCTCCGTGACGTGTGTAACGGTTGAACCAGCACTGTGAAATGTGTTGAGTGTCATTTGTGTGGATGGCTCACCTGCGGCCTGAGCTGCGAGAAGCCCAACCGGTTCACCAGGATCACAGAAAGCACGTAAACGTTTATTCGTCGTCAATTCTGTAAGGACATCACGGTAGTATTCCACATTCTCTTCTCGTTTTTCTGCAAGTTTTTCCTTTAAACGATTCTGTGCACTCCATCGTGCCACTTGAGAGACTTTATGAAAAAGTGGAAATGTCGCCTTATTTCGTAAATACTCTTCCATTCCATCTTGCATATAACGTGGAAGTGGATTTTCCTGCACTTGCTGTTCCAAATGTTGTTGTCGCACCTGCGCCTTATCCTCACCTGTTGTTGCTGTTGTTGTTGTTATTGTTGTTGTATGTGTAGATACCACTTCCTCCTCATCTGCACGGGGACGTTTCCCACGTTGAATCTTTTCCTTTTCTTGTTGTTCCTCTGCGGTGGTAGCCCCAACATCTACACCAAAGCGTTTGCCAAGATCCACCACATTCTCCTTTGCCATTTCCCATGCTTGCAGGGTAGAAGCCTTACATGGATCCAATCCATCTCCACCGTATGTAAATTGCACAACACTTCCATTGGAATCCCGCACGGAATGATCCCAGTGAACAATGAGACTCTCCAATCCTTTAATAAGACAACGTTGGAGATGTCCAGATCGAGAGGTTTTCACTGCAGTATCAATAAGACCATCACGACCCGCCATGGCGTGAATTGTATACTCTGGTGGTCGAATACCAGAGGCAAATCGTCCAATTGCATATCCAAATGATCTTGCTCGTCTTTCATGAGGGAAAAAGGCGGGAAGTGTTTTTGCCGAATTCATTCTCTTCACACGTCGTCCATCAAAGAGTTGTTGTCCAAGTCCAAGAGCCATTTGAGTGGCATTTGCATTACTTCCCTTTGCTCCTGATGTGGTCATCATAAGAAGATGATTACGAGGAAATGGTACCATCATTCGTCCTGGCATAAATTCCTGTTGTAGTTTAGTGGCATATTCCATAATCTTTGGCATTGCAATAGCCTCATCATCTGGAAGTTGTAAAGGCGCTTCATCCAATTGTCGTAATAATTCATATCGACGTTGTTCCTGAACAAGAAACATATCATCCATACCAATAGAAAATCCTTCTCGTTGTAAACTTTGAGATAAAATACGACCCAAGGCTCCAAATAATTGACCCACTTTATGTGGTCCATACAACTCATGAACTACATGTGCAATAGACATACTAGAAGCACCAAGTTGTTTTTTACACATCAATCCAATAAGTAATTCACTGTTCATAAAGAATACACTATCATCATCCATAGCACGACGTGTAAAAGTACGTATTTCATCACTTCCTGGAATAGTTGTATTATATGCAGTGGGTTGAATAAGTGAAGTTCCTTTTAAAGTCACTCCACTTTCTCCACCTCGTGTGGTACTACGAGAACGTCCTCCTACACCACTTACAAAACGTATAATAACAGAAATTAACTGTTTACCAGTCCATAATGGACGAGGACGTAATATAGCTGGAACTGGAATAAGTTCCGAAAGTGTAACTTCATGTTGTTGCTGCATATAAGGGGCAAGTCCATAGTAAACAAGTTGAACAAAGGTGGCATGATCCAAAAATTTATCACGTAATGTTAACATCACACCTGCGGCTACATGATCTTGAATAAGACCACGAATAGGTTTTCCAGAAGTTGGTACAAGATAATTAAGATTTGCATCCATTAATGTATCTAATTCCGCTTTAGCTTCTAAACTTTGTGGAACATGAATATTCATTTCATCTCCATCAAAATCGGCATTAAAGGAACTACCATTAACGTAATGAAATCGAAGGGTTTTGTATCCAGATAAAACCTTTACCCGATATCCCATCATACTTGGTTTATGTAATGTTGGTTGACGATTAAATACCACACGATCTCCATCCAAAATATGACGATAGACAATAAGTGTCATTCCACTTTGAGCCATCGCAAAATACTTCGCGGCGTGTTGTCGTCTTGTTTGTTCAGGTACATTAAGATCCACAAATCGAATTTCACCATTCGCGTGTCGGAGTTCTAAGTGTGTGGCTCCAGGATACCGCTGTGGGCCATTAATTACACACCGTTTAAGAAGATTCATTCGTGCTGGGGCGAAACAGGTAACCTGTTCAGGAAAAGATAAACTACGGGAGAATGGACGAGGTAATAAAACTTCATTTGGTTCCACTAATGGATCAGGAGAAATAACAGAACGACAGGCTTGATTGACACGTTTTCCCATCATATTCATACGGAAAAGTCCTTCTTTTTTGGCAAAACTTTCTAATATTCCTTGATATACCTCATTTACTTTTACCTGTAGATTACGTAGATTAATTTCATTAGCGATTTCTTGAGCTGTAGAGACAAGATTACGATCTGGTGTAGAATTATTTCGCAACATTTGATAACATTCAATCTGTTCTACAAATCCAAGCACATCTGAGAGTGCACGTGTTTGAGTATCTGGTGAGATTGCCCCACTATCCTGCACCTGTACACCAGATGAGAGACGTAAAGGTAAAGGAGGAACGAGAATACGATCTATAAAGAAAACTTTATACATTTCTCGGCCTGGAAGTGGTGTGGAATGTGAAGTAGATACAGAAGGTTCACCAAGGTGTGGGAATAGTAAAGAGAGCATACTATCTTCCTTATGACAAAGTTGTTTTAAGTGTTCACGGATATCTTGATTTCGGAAATAGGTGTGACTTCTCTTATGTAATTTATTATTTTCCTCCCATTCACGTAATTGAGCTTGTGAAAGAAGTGCATTGGCGACATTTACATTGGCACTATTTTTCTTAAAAAAGAAGAAGAAATGACCATTTCGTTTAGTTATACGCGGGGATAATCCATTGCAGTGGGAACACACATTCGGATATTCCCGTAAATCCCGCAATGCCTGACGTGCGATATTATTACGCACATCTATAGCTCCCTTATTATTATTATTGTTATTATTGTTGTTAGTTGTTTCTCCTCCTATTTCTTCTGTTGTTGTTAACATTGTTGTTGTGGTTGTTGTTGTTGTTGTTGGATGTTTCTCTGTAGATGTGAGGCCATATCTTCTAAGAATCCTTTCCACATGTTCTTCCAGCAAACTCACATCATTCACCACCTCTTCATTAGCCACATGTAATCTTTTATGCCGGGCATCATTTCCCTTCGCATTTGTCACTACATCTAATAAATGTAATGCCTCTCCAATGAGTCCACAGTCAATCAATCGCAGGGTTTGTCGATATCTCTCCACATCAAACAATGGTGCTCGGAATTTATGACAAAAGAAACACTTTGCCTGCAGTAACAACTCCGCCTCTTCCACCAAGTGTGGATTCATCACAAACATGCGGACTTCACTCTGCAGTGGATTGCCAGGGAAAAGACGCGGCATCCCAACAAACCCAAAGTGCCCCTGGCACCGTTCATTGCCGTATTTCCCTGTTAAACTCGCCGCGCAGGTCTGACAGGACTGTGGCGGATATGTGCGGACATCAAAGTTCCCCATGCGGGGATCGTAGAAAGTGGCGTGTTCTTCACCGGCCCGCATGACTGGCCGCCACGGGGCTGTTTTCTCCTCCTGCCCGCAGCGCGTGCGGACTTCGACGAACGCCATGTTGGACATATCGTGAGGGCTGAGAAGAGAGAGGGAGACGGCCATCTTTTCAGGCATCACGTGGCGGGTTTTGAGATCGCCCACGTATGCGTGGAATGGAAATGCCGTGATGAGCGACATCGCTACTGTGTGTTTTTTTACATGTGGTATATATATATATATATATATATATATATATATATATATATATATAGGTAAAGATAGATATAATGCGTTTAGCATGTACAGTAATCACCTTACCTCCAATACAACGGAGTGAGGGGGTAGAGAGAAGGAGAAAAAGAGGGATAAAGAAGTTTCTTCGTACAGACATATACGTAAGGAAAAAACAAAAATCAAATCTCATTTTCATTTTTTTTTTATTTTTTTATACTTTATTCTTCTTCTTCTTGTTCTTATTCCTCTAGTGGATTAGCCATTGTTCTGTATAATAATTGCTGCAGATATCTTTCAAATTCTTAAACCTTTTTCTTTTTTTTGCGATTCCATTGTTTTTTTTTTTCCCCCGCTTCTATTCGATCAAAACACTTCCGTACATATTTTCTCTCTCTATTTTTTCTTTTTTTTTTCCTTCAACGCTCAACATTAAGAAAGAAATAAAATATTCTTATTACCTCTACCCTCTTTTCTTTTCTTTTCTTTTCTTTTCATTACACTTCCAAACAGCAGCGAGACCTACAAGTCTCAGATGCACAGAAGCCCAAATTTTTTCCTCTTTCAGTTTTTCTTTTATCTTTATTATTTCATTTTTCCTTTTTTTTTTTTTTTCTTCGCTTCTGATAGTTTTCACGCAGGGAAAAAATATATCACCTTCAGACGGCAATAACCCCACAAAAAACGAATAGAACACAGATGAGAATTACAGCAAAAGATAGATAGATAAATAGATATAGATAGACAAATAATGGTAATAAAAGTCTTAAGTAGAGGAACAATTATTATCATTGCATCTTCTTAAACAGAGAAAAATACAGCAATGAAATATATATATATATATATATATATATATATATATATATATATATATATATATTTATTTACGTGTATGAAAGCCATAAAAATCATCTCATTCATTCATTCATCTCAGAAATAATCAAACAAAAACGTACACGCAGATAATAAATACCGAAGAGGTAAAATATCGGGGATATATACAAACAAATAGATTAGATAGATATCCATAAAAATAGATGGGGAATAGTAAATATATACATACGACTACAGGTTTAATTATGGTTTCTATTGTGCATTTTGTAGGAAGGAAAAGCAATAATAATAATAATAATAATAATAATAACAATATCAACAAAACAATAGAAAATCGAACGTGTGGCGTTGAGACAAAGCAGTAAGAACAAAAAAAAAAAAAAAAAAAAAAAAACAAAAAAA